CCCATCCCTCCCTCCCTCTCTTCCACCTCCTTGTTGTCATATGACCGCTGTTATGTGTGTGTAATGGAACACAACGTTGCTCTGTTAGTCCCCTCTGCTCTGCCCTCTCAGATTTGAGTGCTGTAAGTAAGGCCCTCTCACTCGCCGGCCTCAGGAAAACAGACAGGGCCCTGTATGTGACTAATAGCAAAGATTAGAAAGGAGGGTGAAGAGAAAGAGAGGGATGAATTGAGCCACCCGTAAAAAAAAAAATGTACTCAGTAACAGAGCCCCGCCCTGAGATTATGTTTGATTCAGCTGACAGCTTTCCTCACTGATGCTTTACTGTCAAGTCCTTTATTAGTCCTCTCTGCACCTGTGTCTGTCGAAAGGACTTGTCTGCCAAACAGTGTCTCCTTGTCGTTTGTGTGGAGATGACACTTTGTCCCTGTACCTGGCAAGGATTAAAGACCCAAAACAAACACAAATGCTGAGCCAGCTGAAACAAAGCGCTGCCCTGTCTGAATATACTGAGTGACAAAGCAACTGAGAGATCTGAACTCGATGGACCGCCATGGTGTTAAAGGGTATTTCATCGCCTCTGCAAGATCACTTTCAATGTTAATTCCCACTACCACTAAAGCAAATGTATAGGAAGTGGTTAATTCTGGTGCTCCCTCTCCAGGAAAAAAGGGACATCTTACATTAATCATTTTATTAAGTAGGCTGCTGAGGGAGCTATGTTTGGCCCCCTTAGTACTTAAGTGTAATAGAGCTGAGTTTAATTGTCCAAGTCGACTGTGTGCTCACCTAAAAGGTGTAAGATGGCTGAAAGTGCACCGGACGGGGACATTGGCCTCCTCAGTGCTAGAGCTGCCACCTCAACAGCCACTGTCACTTTAAAACCAAGTCTGTCCCCACTGTCCCCTGCCATTATGTCACCCAGTGGAGTGGATGTAGCAAGTAACAAAGGAGGTGGAAGGAGGTCAACTCAGCATAGGCTCTGTCACACTATTGCTCTCATTTTTACATGCATATAGGCGGCTTGAGTGGCAGCATGTATACTGCATATTACCATTGAAACAAAGGAGAATAAATACATCAGCTTACATACCATGCTTAATTTATGTGACGTGTATTCCACTGGTTTAAGAATTCATATTGAGGTTTGTGTATTTGGCTTAAAAAAACAATTCATCAAAAATCAGACCAATTGTATTTCTTCCAATATTATGTTCAATATTATGTTCAAACAGTCTGAATGAGGGTATGATGACATTTTTCAGTATGTACGTGTGTGTGTGTGTGTGTGTGTGTGTGTGTATAAGCATGTGATTAACCTTCATATTCCCCACTGGACCTCGTCATCCATCATTTTAAAGCCAAGGGCATTAGTGATCTCTGACACTTTTTGACAGCTTGCAGAAGAAAACTGAAAATCCAACAGAAATAATGATTGTTGATTGGAGCTTTTGTCCCAATGGATGTGACCTTGGTTTGTCTTCTAGTGGTCAACAAGTTGCTGAGACTGTAGAGGAGAACACGGTCAAAACTGGACAAAATCAACAACGTCACTTTGAATTGTGGGTGAAAAACACAGACGGCGACACACACTGTCTTACAACATGTTGTTTGCATGCAAAACATTTATTGTTGAGCACGCAGTTCTGATTGTGGCTGTGATATTATAGGCCACTGTTAAGTAATTGACATGGAAGCAACATGACGTGCATCTTCTCTTGAAATGGCATCATGAAGAATTAAGTATCTGCACATTTTGGTAACCGCCCTTAAATCACAACTCAGACCCTTTGAAGTTTTAATGAAACCAATACTGCACTGATTGCACTGACAACAATACATCACTTCACTGCGAGTCATCTATACTTGAAAAACACATGGATAATTAAATTATTTGATTTATCCACATTGGTAATTTGAGGTCAGAAAGAATTAAAGTATGATGTAGATGCGTCTCAGCTAATGGTAAAGTTACACTTCCTAAAAGATATGGTGCTTCAATATGTGCTTATCTGAATTCCATAATGTCAAGCTCTTTCTGGATGACAAACAGTAAATTCAACTTGCAAGCAACCCACAAAGGCTTATTCCAATCTGTCAGCATTACACTATGACAGCGATCAATATTCCTATCCAGTTTAATTGCGTTTTATCTCAAACCTGAATCAGGCAACATTACACACGTTCAGCAAAAGTGTCAATCTACTGCTGATCCATTTTGGTATCAGTAGTGCTCAAGAGATAAGGGCATGGTGGAATTTATCCACCATCTTTGCCTTGATTCACAGATGTCTCTGGTACTCGATGTGAGCTGCTGCCGCCGGAACTATCACAGGCACATCCAGCGTTTTTGTTTTTTTTGCTCAGAAAAGCGCTGTCTTTCTACACCGACATGAAATTATCACGGTCTTTCCCTCTCTCTTTCATCCAATCTGTTCCAAATCTTCTCTTTCCTTCATTCTCTCTCTTGCTCTCTGCTGCATCAACCTCCGCCCCTCTGCCCCATCTGCCTCCCTACTGTTAAACCCCCCCCCCCCCCAGCCCCTCGACCCCTCCCTGCACTGGTTCTCCCTCTCTCTATCTCTCCCTCTCTCATGTAACACAAACACACATACAGTACGCACAAATACACATGCTCTCCTGATGCTGCACAACCAATCCCAACCCCCCATTGAAAAAAATACAGCAACACTCTGTTACAGATGTGAAAGATTATTGAAACAGAAAATGTCACAAATCGTAATGAACATGCTCTGCTCCCCCAACTTGCCCCCTCTCATCGTCAGGATTTTATATTCACAAACAAACATAACTTGATATAAATCCCAGCTGGAGATTGATAATGAATGGTGAGGTAAGTTTCCCCCAAAGAACAGCAGACAGAAAGCTCCACTCAAATCCTCCAACGTTCCTGTGCTGCTGTCAAGCCACAATTTGCTGGCTTATCCCAGTGCCTGCGAGCTTCGTGGGATATGTGCACTTCCCACTGCAAATTCACAATCAATATCTCGTGAAGCCAGTTGTAAGTACTGAACACCTGATAGTGTGCTTTTACTCTCTCATTTCCCCTCTTTCCATTTCTTAGCTTATGGCCTGGACAGACAGACAGACACACACACACACACACACACACACACACACATCTTTGACGGATCCTTCACTTGTCCTACATATAGTAATTACATGAACTAAGCATTCAGATAAAAACATTCTCTACGGATCGAGGATGCTCCGGGGGGGACGATGAGTCAGATTGCAAGCATAAGATATAGCAGCGTCCGTTGGCACAGAGCTAGCAGGGTGGAGGAGGGGACTGGACAGGCTGCCTGCCTGCCTGCCTTGGTGCCATCTCTGAACATCACCTTCCCCATTTTATCAGGAAAACATACTCGCCCTCGACAGAATGACTGCAATGAAATGGCATCTTGCTCCACCACTGTGTCCAAACCAGACCAGCCTTGCGGTGATCACAAAAAAAAAAGAAGCTTTGTGTCTGTTTGAGAGTAGTCAGGCTTACCGTGTTCACAAGCCAGCATCCATTTACAAAGGATACTGCAGACAAGCCCTTACAGGGAGAGAAAGCCTCTGTGCAATCCACCTTTAGTCCTGCTGCTTCATCTTCAAATCTTCCTCATATTCACAGGGTCACACACACTCAAGTACATCTCTCTCTCTCTCTCTCTCTCTCTCTCTCTCTCTCTCTCTCTCTCT